CTGCGTTACCCATAATAAGGAAAATACCGTATTTTCCCATAAATTGTAGGGTCCTTAAGGTGATGCAGGATTCATATCATCGCCACTGCTATCTGCTATCGGATTCAAGCTCATGGAAGATGGGAGGAGCGGCAGCGGCCATTGGGAGCTTGAACAAGACGAGAACGTGCCAGTTCTCCTCAGGGCCAAGGAGATTGCCAAGTTGATTTCCCCGATCGCTTCTTTACGACACAGCTTAGGGCTTAGGGGCCTTTGGGGTTTGTGTAGGACTTCGGCTTTCAGGCGCAATCCTCACGGGAAAGGTGCAGAAGCACCTAGTCACGTTACAACCATCAATTTGGTCCTGCAGTGACGGTTGTTGTGCTGGTCATGACAGCGAACAGGACTTGGATGATGACAGTGAATTCTATGATGGCTGTCATATCTGTCATTATGATGACGATGATGGCGACGGACATCATCATCTTCAAGATTGACCATCATCACCATCATGATCAACTCCTCTCATCAATCCTACAAAGCCTTCTTGTCGTTGGCATTGCTAGCATGTTGTCAAAAACTGCCTATGCAGGCAGGACTGCATGTGGAACTTGCAGCATGCCCCCTACTGTCACAGCGTCACAGCGACCTTCTGTGCTGCGCAGGATGGAAACGACCAAGCCCCTGATGTATCGCGCCTGATGTCTGCCGAGGAGTTTGGCTTCGGGCGTTTCGAGCCAGTAGTTGCGTGTACAATGTACATGGTATGTTGCATATATAATACTTATATATATGTATACATACATATATTTTTATATATACATGTATAGAATACATAGGATTAACTTTGAGTTGATGCTTCAGTGAACAGGGCGGCAGCTGCACTCCCTGCATATTTGGTGATGCGAACCGCGAAAACGTATTGGTGTTGTTATCCTTGCACCGACAAACGCAAACGCGACAGCGAGATCAGCAGCAAAACCAAAGGACAGCCACCACGACCGCAGCAGCTCAGGCGGCAACAACATCCAGACCAACGTGGCTGCCAACACCAATGCCGGTACCAGAAGCCATTGAGTACCACACCATGGAGACGCATTCTGCGAAAGGATCACGCGCACCATTTGTGTCAATTTGTGTATCCTTGGTTTAAAAAACCAGCCAGTAGCAGCAGCAGGAATCGGTAGCCCCCGATACACCGGTTAGTTGACAATGCATAACCGAATAGTCAGACCAGCGATAGCATTGTTGCTACTTTTGTCTTGCCGGAAATACTGAAAACGAGGCTTAAACGGCAATCAAGCGCACCGCCGGCGTCATCACTGCCGCCGTCGCCGTTTTGCTGCTGGTTGCCTTGCTGTCAAACGCACTACAGTCATTCCTCATATTGGCTGGAACCGCCAATTCGAAGAGGCCACTTCGCCCCATTAACCTGTGCAAAGCCTATGACGATTTACCAAACCTTTGTGTGGTTTGAGTGAAGCCGGGTTGAAATCAGCCCTCTTCAAACTGCACATCCCGCTTGAAACCTTCTCGAACCGGATGGCGCCCTTTTGCACGTACACCCTACATAGGCCCTACTTCCGAAGCTTTCAGCCCTAAACTTCACCTAACAACGGCAACAAAGCCCAAAAGCGATCACACCCTAAATCCCCAGAAAACCGGACACAACAGCCCGGAAAGCCTTGCAATCCACCACAGCCGTTTCCAGGACTTCTACGGCTCCGGTGAGGCCTACTGTACCCCCCAAGTCCCTGAAAGCAGCCTTTTGAGCTCAATACGATTAAATTTAGGGGCTTTGTTCCGGGGTTGCTACAAGGAGTAGCATATGATTATGCGGGAAGAAAGGCGTGTGCTCCGGGGGCTTTGTAAGTTTGGTGTAGGGGTTCCCAGAGCGTACAGAAGGAGAATTTATTGCTGGATCTATCCGATCTATCCCTCAATATGGGTGCTGTATCAGTACTTCAGGTGGTTGGTGTAGATGCCATAGTGTTTTAGAAGGAATACACTATATCCCTGCCCGAACGGTAGAAAGATTCCAAAACTGATTTACAAAGCTTTATGAACTCTGGGCCCAGAGCGTTCAAAGACGAGGATCTGAGGCTTTGGTTCGTCTTCTTCTTGACTTTTGTTGTTGTCGCTGTTTGCCTCCATGCCGCCAGCAAGAGCAGGAAAACCTGAAGATGTCTAACGTCAACCGTAACCATTTTCTTGAGGTTTCCTGTTCGTGATGTCAACAGTGTAGAATCTCCCACAAGTGGCCATGAGCCTTACGTACTGGTTCTCAGGCGTTGCAGCTCGTGGATCTTTGGGCCGAGGCTGGATTCGTTGCGAAGGGGCTTTCGTGGATGCAGCCACTTCGGTTGCATGGCATAGCTGTCCATTGCGACAGTTGGGAGCTCCTCCTGTCACAGGTG